ATATATATATATTCACATTTCACTTATATTAATTTACCCATATACAATACACAATATACTAGTTAGACATTTTTCATTCTTTAACTCAATAACTATAGCTTATCAAATTATAAGAGTTGAACTCAATTTGCCCTGAAAACATCCCTAAAAATAGCCAGGAAAATGCATTTCATACTACTTATCATACACAGCCGCATTAAAGTATTATCTGCACCACGAATAGAAAATAATATTTAAAAAAAAGAAGATGAATATTATGATACGTTAGCACGTGAAATAGTGATGAAAAGAAATGAAATCTTGAGTCCCTTTTTCTTGTTAATTCCTTCCTTTACAGTATATGCTATCATCATCCTCCCAACATCCCCCTCAACTCTTTTCCCTAATTTCCCCGAACTTTTAGCACGATACCATGCTGAATTGACGAACCATATTTTTCAGTTTATGGCAACTTTTCAGAATCTTTGAGGTGGCCACGCCTTGCACAACTAGTAAGAAACGAAAAAACAATACGTTTCATTTTATGTTACTTTTATGAAATATAAATATAGTTAGGGATGGGACCATTAGTCACGTTACTTTAATTTCCATAGGCCATTCTGGGTTTCAAAGACAAGTAGCACCTATTTATGGTTGGTGGGGGGAATTAAGAGAGGTAGATAAAGTTTTTCCATTTCCCACGGGAGAATCAACCATACCTATTATGTGTGCATGTGTGTGGACTAATATGTATAGTTGTATACGTCTCATTCTTCTTTTTTCACAACCAATAATGTTAGAGAGAGGGTGAAATGGAATTGAGTGGAGAAACATCAAATCATGTGGGTCGGTGATGATGTACAACTTCGATCGGCAAGTGCTGTCTTAAAAGAATGGTAGATTAATTTGTTTGGGAGTAACATCAAAAGAAAGTTTAGAGTCCTCAGATCAAATTTGTTTTTGCTCTCCATCCTCCAACCTATCATCAACATGTACCAAGCCTATATATGTTAGCCACTTAGCTTGTGTAGGAAATAAAGACTTGTGAGCTACATGACTTGCTTAAATAATTCATTAAAGTGATATAATTTTTTTTTATTTTATCTAAGTTTAGAAAGAATAGCCCCCTCATATTTAGCTTAGAAACATATGTATATATATTAGTAGTTGTGATTACGACGATATGATAACAAAAGAAATCGAAAGTAATCCTCTTCACCTATTTTTAGAGTTAAAAAACAAAGTAGCCATTCTAATTTTATTGAAATTTTTTTTAAAAAGTTATTAGTGTTGCCTTTACATAAAATCGTGTTTTATTGTAATATAAATTTTTTAAGTTAAAGACAAGTTAAAATATAAAGTATAACTTATTAGTAAATTTTATCTAATTAACATAAATTTTATACTTGATATAGAAATAATAATAAAAATTATCTATTACATTTTTTATAACTTTCAAATTATATATATTGACAAAAGGAAAA